CCGATGACCTCGCCTCCACCTCCATCGCCGCCGCCGCCGCCGCCACCAGCGCCGCCGCCGCCCTCGCCGCCACCACCCTCACCGCCCCCACCCTCACCACCGCCCTCGCCGCCGCCGCCGCCGTCGCCGCCGCCTTCCCCTCCTCCGCCGCCGCCGCCACCGTCCCCTCCGCCGCCTTCGCCGACGTCCCCTCCGGCGTCGCCGCCTCCGCCCTCGCCGCCGCCTCCTCCTCCGCCCTCGCCTCCACCGCCTCCGCCACCGCCGCCACCGCCGCCGCCGCCCCCGCCTCCCTCGCCGCCGCCGCCCACCGGCGGGGGCTTCGCGGCTCTCCAACAGCTCTGGGCCGAGCCGTGGTTCCTACGTGTCGCCGACGATCAGGCTCGTCTCGGGGGCCGCTGCTGGGGCGTCACGGACGCCTTCCGCGGTGGGTTCTGGCGTCCGTGCGGCGTCGCTCCGGGCGGCTCGCCAGTCTGGCCGCTCCCTTCGTGCGGAGTTCACGCGGCCATCACTGCAGCGGCCGCCTTCCTCGGCGCCGAGCGCGCGGCGGGGGCTCAGCTGTGTGAGGCGCTCGAGAGGGAGCTCGGTTCGACCAGCAGCCGGCGCTGGCCCGCAGGACGCAGGCGTCGCCGCAGCGGCCGCAGTCGCCGCCGCCGCCGCCCGGATACTACGACGCAGGCCGGACAGGCCGCCCACGAGCGCTCCTCCGCCGCTCCCGGCCGTGCATCAGCCGCCACCGCCGCCGCCGCCGCCGCCGCCTGCCTACGACAGGCGGACCGCTGGTTCAACTGGCCGTGCGCGGCCGCGGTTGTGGCATTCCTAGTCGGCTCCACCCGTGCGTGCGGGTGGGCGGCGTGGGCGTCCGCTGCCAGCGAGCCTCTCGAGCGCACCCCCGCGCGGACAGCCGGCTGCCTCGCGTGGCTCTTCCCCCGCCTGCGGCTCGTCGGCTTGCTCGTCGGGTTCTGGCACAACGCAGACGCCTCTCCCGGCTGCGTGCTCGCCGCTGCCAGCTTCGCGCTCCACCTCTTTTGCTGCCACATCGAGGCGCCGCGCTGGGCACAACCCTCCGTGCCGAGGGCGCGCTCAGCGCGGGCCTGCGCGCGGTGGCTTTTGCTCTTCGGGTCCTTGCAGGCGGCGGCCGCCTGTCCCACCCCGTCCGTTACCGGGGCGGCGACAGTGCTGTGGGGCTCCGGCGGCGTGCTCCCACTCGCTGCCGGGATCGCCGCCGCGGAGGTGATGGCGAGGGTGGCGGCGCAGCCCGCGCCGGCGCCGCCGCCGCCGTGCGCTTGGCCACAAGGACTAGATGCGCCGCCTCCAGCGCGCCCAGAGCTCACCAGGCTCGCACCCGCATGCGCCCCGAAGCTCAAGCTCGGCGATGGCCAGAAGGCCCTCGCGCGGGAGGACGCCCGGCAGCTGATTGGGAGGATTCGAGCGCTGCACGCATCGCAAGCGACGGGCCCGCTTGTGCAGCTGCGTAAGCGATTCGGTCCAGCTCCGAGCGGGCCGGACGAGAAGGTGCAGGAGGAGGAGAAGAAGGTTGGGGCCGTGGCCTGCTGCCTCGCGATGCTCCTTGGCTACTACACCTGCACAGATAATGGTCGATTCAACTGCTCCCCATCGAACGCGATCCAGGCGTTCAGCGACGGCGGCACTTGCGCGGGTAGACGTCCGGTGGTCGCCCTGCTGCCCCTCATCGACGCGCTGCAGATGGCAAGGATCCCGGCGGGCGCGTGTGCGGGGGCCGCGGCCGCGGCGCCCGATGCCGATCGAGCCGCCGCCGCTGGCCTGTCGCCGGCGCCGGCCCCGCCAACCGAGTGCGCGAGCACCCTCTCCGACGGCGCGGCGTCCGATGCCGACCGAGCCGCCGCCGCCGCCGCCGATGGCCCGCCGCCGGCAAGAATCCCGCTGGCCGAGTGGGTGCTCGGCCTCTCGACCGAACAAGCCGCCTCCATTGCCGACGAGGTGGCGACGAGTCAGCTGCGCCTCCCGCCCTCGGACGGGTACGAGCTCACGCGCCTCGGCGGGCCGGATCCGTACCACCTCGACCCCAAGCTCATACCGGCGGAGCGCCTGCTGCTCCTCCTCGAGGCGCTGCCGCTGCTCAGGGGCGACACCGCGGGGAGCAAGAGGACGCTGACGCAGAGCGCACACACCGCGCCGAGGCGGTTGGTGTCCGTCGCCGCCGCCCTGGCTGCCCACGCAGGCTGGTATCGCTGCGGCACGCCCGATCCGCAGTGCAGTCCCGCCGCTGGGGTGGACTGGGCGGCCGCCCTGGCCGCTTTTGATGGCGATCGGGAGCTCCCGCAGCACTGGACCAAATACGACCGGGAGCGCAGTCACCAATACTTGCGCAAGGCAAGCAGCAGATGGTTCATCGACCTGCGGAGGATGGAGGAGGAGGCGTACGCGAACAAGACGGGCGTCCGCGTGAAAGAGCGCCAGGGCGAGGGCGAGGGCGAGGGCGGGGGCGGGGGCGGGTGGTACGACGACGACGCCGACGACGAGAACGCCGAGATGGCGGCCGACGGCGAGTTGCTCGCCCCGTTTGAGGGACTGCCGGAGAAGCGGGCCCCGCCGGCGTGGGTTTCGCCCTCCCCCTTTTCGGACCTGACAGAGGCGCAGAGGCGGGCCGTCCAGTCCTGGCCCCGTCGTGGGCCGGCAAACGAGCTGGTGGGGAGAAGCGGGCTGACGCGCAAGGACCTGCTCACGCTCGAGCCGCGCGAGTGGCTCAATGACGAGGTGCTCAACGCCTTCATGGACCTCCTCAACCGGTGCGCGCACACAACCCTTGCGCCGTCCTCCCCGCCGCCGCCCTCGCCGCCGCCGCCGCCGGCGGCGGCCTCACCCCCGCCACCTGCGCCGCCACCGCCGTCGCCGCCGCCGCTGTCGCCGCCGCCTCCCTCGCTCCCCAAGGTGCACGTCTTCTCGACGCACTTTTACACCAAGCTCGCGGAGTGCGCCGGGGGGTACAACCACAAGAACGTGTCGCGCTGGACACGAAAGGTCGACCTCTTCGCGATGGACCTCATCATCGTGCCCATCAACCAGGGCAACACGCACTGGGTGCTCGCCGCGATCAACGTGCGCGAGCGGCGCTTCGAGTACTACGACTCGATGGGAGGCGACGACGACGGGCGGCTCAAGAACCTGCGCATGTACCTCGTCGACGAGTGCGCGCACAAGAAGCACGAGCGGCTCGACCTCGAAGCAACCGGGTGGGCCGACTACTACGGCGCCAACCACGGCGCGCCGCGCCAGACCGACGGCTTTAGCTGCGGCGTGTACGTCGCGATCACCGCCGAGTGCCTGCGGCGGGGCGCCGCCCTCGACTTGGAGAACAGAAGGATGCAGTACTTCCGCGAGAAGCTGACGGCGGAGCTGCTGCGTGGCGCGCTGCTCGACGATGAGAGTGGCGGCGCGGGCGGCGAGGCCGCCGTCGACGAGGCGTTGGAGGCGCCGCTCGAGGACGCGAGTGGCGGCGACGGCGGCGACGGCGGCGGCGACGGCGGCGGCGAGGCGCCGGAGGCGACCTCGCCGCCGCCGGTACGGCCGCTGCTCGACGACGAGACGCGCAGCGCGGGCGGCGTTGACGAGGCGGTCGAGAAGGGCGACCCCGAAGACGTCGAAGACCCCGAAGACGGCGAACGGAGGAAGCGGGGCGAGCCCGTCGCCTATGAACGGGAGCGCCGTGCAAAGATTCACGAGAACATGCAGTACCTCCGCGAGCTTGGGATTGGCAACCGCGAGAACGAGGTGAGCGAGGCGGAGGCCGAGAAGCTGAGAAAGTGGGGCGCGCCCCCCAGCGCACTAGCGAACGCGTCGACGGCCAGCCGCTGGATGGAGGGCAGGCTGAACCGCATGAAGTCGGCCAAGCGGCCCTCGCAACGGCCGCCGGCCAAGGGCAAGTCCAAGGCGGGCCGCTTGCGCAACAATCGCCAGCCGCCAGAGATCCGCAAGCCGACCTGGGAGGCGCTCCGACAGATGGGCCACGCGGAGAAGGCGGAGGTGGCGCGCCAGCCATACGGCCACCTCGTCGAGTACACCGAGCGCGGCAACGTCGATCTCTGCAAGGTCCATTGCGACCCGACCGCCGAATGCGATGGGCAGTACAAGCTCACCGTGCTCGAGAGGCGCTCAACGGACGGCGAGAACGTCGAAAACTTTGTCGACTCCTTCACGACGGCGCTCCGCGAGTTTGAAAAGGCGCGTGCGGACGCCGCGAGGCACACGAGAGCCCTCGCCGTCACCCTCGCTCTGGCCGACGCGGCGACCATCGACGCCGTCTCAAAGTTGCGCTGCCTCGCCGAAGTGATCGACGAGGAGGAGGTCTCGCTCGATCACCTGGTGGGTGCTGTCACGCAGCTCGAGCACGGCGACATTGAGACGATGCCAGCGGGCGCGGTGGAGGCGGCGGCGCAGCTGCGCGCAAGGTGGGCGAAGGAGGCGGTCAGCAAGCGACCCTCTCCCTCGTCGCTCGAAGCCTGCATCTCGCTCGAAGAGCTGCTGCGGGCGATGCAGGCCGTGGAACGCGCGAGGCCGCCCGTCTTCCACAAGGCGACACTCTTCAACACCCATGGCGTCCAAGTCCGGTGTTGCCGCAGGATCTTACGCTTACGTTTGCTCAAGGGGGGGAAGCTGGGTGAATACGACTCTCTGTCGCACTCACGGACTGAAGTCAGGAGCCTGCCGGCGGCCCGAGACTGAACGACAGGGCCCGCACCGGGCCCTCACACGACTCTCGTGTGGCGTTCAGAGAGTTCGTTACACACAATGGGACCGCCCGTCCTCCTCAATTCGATTATCGGGACCCCCGGGGGTCGTTACATGCGCCTCGTCACTCCGGTACGAGCTCCATTCGCGGCTCCAGTCGCCCCAAGTCACCACGGAGGACTGTCCAAAAACCCTCCTCCATGACAGCAGCGTGATCGCAGTGCCGCTCGCAAACGTCAGGGGTCTCGTCCGAGGATAGGGTGCCCACAGGACCCCAAAAAAGAAAGGAAAAAGAAATGGGCGACCCCAGATCGCAGCACTTCGTGTTGGCCAGTCGAGAAATTGAGAGTGTGACTAGGAGGGAGGGACGCTGGGGATTCTCAAAGGTATACCCTTGGAATGGCCAGATCCAGCCTTAAAAGTACGAGATCGCGCGCGCTTCACGCACAGCACCGCCTGTTCTCCGCGGCTGTGTGACGACGCGTGCCGTGTGCCAGCAGAGTTGGGCGCGAGCGGCGCGACGGCGCCCGCGAGGGAAGGCGCGGGTGCAGCGGCCGCCGGCGGCCGTACCGCCCGCCAGCCGGCGCAGCAGCGGCCAGCGCAGCGGCCGCCGGCGCAGCAGCCAGAGCAGCCGGTGCGCGCCTTGCGAGGCGAGTACTGCCGCCCGGCAGCCTTGAGGCGGCCGGGCGGCAGTACTCGTTCGAGCTTTGCGAGCCGTGCGCGCGTCGAGGCGCCCGCGGCGCGCGCCCGCCCGGCTGCCAGTAGGAGGCGGCGCAATATGGCCTATAGCACAGCCCTTAGGAGGAGGAAGAGGCTGGCTGGCAGTGCTGTATGCCGCCGAGGGGCAGTTTTGGGGTGCTAACCCACGCCCAGGGGGCTGCAGAACGCGTCCGCAACCGGGACAACCCGCCCCCCCAGCCGAGGCCGGTCGAAGCCCACTTGCAAGCAGCCATGAGGAGTCCTCTTGGTGCTCCTGGCGGTCGTTCAAAGGTCGGGCGCGCGCCGATGGGGGGTGGGTGTGTCTTCCTTGCTCCACACCGAGCGCCATCGGTCCGGACCGGCGTCAGAAGACTCGTCCTTGCGCGAGGAGAGCTCGATAGACTCGAGGGGCCAGGATATGCAGCAAGGAGGGCGGAGCTGCGCCGAAAGGCAAAAGAAGCCGAGAGGACAAGGGAACGGCAGGCGGCGGCGGCGGCGCAGAACGAGGCAGAGGAGAGCGACGCGACAGAGGAAGAGGCGACAAGGGAGAGCACGACGAGAAGGGGGAGACCGCGAGGTGGCACGAAGGTTGCAGCGAGAATCGGCGAGAGACTGAGAAGAGAGATAGGAAGAGGCGGACGCCCAAGGGTGGGCGATGGCTAGCGCACCACACCCCTCTCCTTAAAATCCCTGTGTGGTGGCGGCGTGCCGTTCTCCCATCCCTCCCTTGGGTTGACTGTTTTCTTTCTTTCTTTCTTTACGATTCACGTAAACGCACAACCCCGGGCCCGAAATCGCACACGATTCACGCGACAGGCGAGGCGCGGGCGACGGCTTCCTCAGAAGCCGTCGCCCGCACTTACAGGAACAGTCACACCACTCCCACTCCGGCGCCCACCCACTCTCCACCCCGACATCCCCACCCCACCCCACAACCCCGCCCCCCCCGACCCGAGCAACCCCGCCCCAGCCCGACCCGACCCGATCCACCCCACCGGACCAACCCGCGAGCCGCTCCCGGCTCCGCCCCTCGCCCAATCCCCACCCGCGCCTGCGCCTGCCACCCGCGCCGCCTCCCCGACGCGCGCACGCGACGCCAGCCACCTCGCCCGCCGCCCCGCCCGCCGCCCGCCGCCTCGCCCGGCCTTCGCGCCCGCTCGCTCGAGCACTTCCTCCTCGGGTCGCTAGGCCTGAAAAGAGACGAGGGGAGCGGACAGGAGGATGAGGCTCAAAAGTGCCGGTCTTTTCTTCTTCGACGATGGCCTCCCACCGCATCGGCGCGCGCGTCGCGGGCCTCTCGCCAGAACAGCTGTGCGCCATCATCGAGGCGCAGGCGGGCGCGAGCGACGCCGCGCTGCGCGTGGCGGAGGAGCACGCCGCACGGCTCGTGGAGCAGCCCGAGTGGGTCCTCTCCGAGGTCCTCCTCTCGCCGGACCTCGCCCCGCACATCCTCGCCCAGCTGCCGACCACGGAGCACGCCGCCAAGGGGACGTGCCGCGCGTGGCGCCGCGGCTGGAAGGAGACGCTGAAGAAGCGCGAGAGGCCGCGCATACTCGTGATCGGCGGCGAAGACAGCAACGGCGAGTTTGTCAACTCGCTGGAGCGGTACGACCCGTCAACGAATGAGTGGGAGGAGGAGGCTGTGGCGCCGATGCCGACGGCATGGCCACTGTTTGTCGGCATGGCGGTCCTCGATGGCAAGCTCTACGCGGTGGGCGGCGATAGCGACGACGACGGCTTCCTCACCTCGGTCGAGCGGTACGACCCTGCCACGAACGCGTGGGAGGAGGTGGCACCGATGGCGACGGCGCGGGCTGCTGCCGGCGTGGCGGCGATCGACGGCAAGCTGTACGCTGTCGGCGGGTACGACGGCGGCTGCCTCAGCTCGGTCGAGCGGTACGACCCTGCGATGAACGCGTGGGAGGCTGTGGCGCCGATGGCGTTGGATCGGCATTTTCACGCCGTGGCGGAGCTCGACAGCAAGGTCTATGCTGTTGGCGGGTGCGACGACAGCGGCATCCTCAGCTCGGTCGAGCGGTACGATCCGGCGACGAACGCGTGGGAGGCGGTGGCGCCGATGGCGGCGGCTCGGTGCCATCTCGCCTTGGCGGTGCTCGACGGCAAGCTGTACGCCGTGGGAGGCCGCAACGGCGACGACGACGTGTGCAGCTCGGTGGAGCGGTACGACCCGGCGACCAATGTGTGGGAGGCGGTGGCGCTGATGGCGTCGGCTCGCGCAAAGCTCGCAGCTGCGGCGCTCGACGGCAAGCTGTTCGTTGTGGGCGGCAACGACGATAACATAGCCCTCAGCTCGCTTGAGCGATACGATCCCGTGACGAACGCGTGGGAGGCGGCTGCGCCGTTGACGACCGCACGATGTTTTCATGGCATAGCCGCGGCGTAGGAGATGGCACGGATAGCGCAGATGCCGGCCGGGCTTGGGAGCCCAGATGCCAGCCGCGAGGCGGGAGCGCGAGCATGACTTGAGCGCGCAGAAGCCTCGGCCGACGCCGGCCACTGGCCGCTTGCAACCTCTCGCATGCTCTACGACTTCACGACCGAGTCGTGCGCGACCTGGCGAGGCGAAAGTTCGAGCAGCAGACAGGCAAGTCGAGTTCACCATGTGGGCCTCTCGCATTCGCTGCTCGTTGTTAGATGTTAGCGCGACCGCGGGCGCGGCGTTGTTTGTTTCATAACATCACATCAAACAAAGGCAACAAAGTCCTACATATACGTACGCGCCGGCGAGCCACGTACGCGCAAGCTATAGCTAGAGGCACAGCTGACGCTCCACGCCGTGTAGGGCTAGCACGCACGTACTACCGAGTCGCGAGGGCCCACGTCCGTATAAGCCCGAGGCCGTTATACGAGGCCGTTATGCATGGGTGTAACCCTCACGCCTTCTGCTTGGGCGCTGTGACGGGGAGGAGCTCGGACCAGACCCAGCCTCCGCCGAACGCCGGCCAGAAGAAGACCAGCCAGAGCGTCTG